GTGGAGACCACTTGCCTGGGTTTAACCTGCAGGCCGGATTGTGTGAGGAGCTCACACAATCCCTGAAAGATGTGGACACATCAGTGAGCTTCTCCGGCAGGCAAGGCGATGTTGGTTGGGTCACGTAGCCCGGATGCCCAGTCACCGCATGCCACTCAACCTCACACTCTCTCACACTCTCTCTCACACACACACGCTCTCACTCACACAAAGGCAAAGATCCCCCGTATAGCCTTAACAGACTGTAGGGGCAAGTGCTGTTAACGAGCACCTATGAAGGCCGGATCGGTACACGAGGGGGTGGGTGGCCAGCACCACGCCCGACTGCCTTTGTCTCCCTAGTGGCAATGTTTACACATCGCACCAGGAACTCATTTGAGGCTGAGTCGACCGAGGGGAGGCCCGGGACCGGTTCAGATAATCGTCACTGGTGTTGGCCGTGAGCGGGAATCGAACCCGAGTCGCCAGGTTCATAGCGCAGCGCGCTAACCGCTACATTATCGCTTCCCACTCACACTCTCTCACACACACACATACACTCTCTCATTTTCGCACACACTCACACACACTCTCTCACACTCTCACACACTCTCACACACACTCTCACACACACTCACACACACTCTCACACACACTCTCACACACACTCACACACACTCTCTCACACGCTCTCACACACTCAACAACAACAACAACCGCCATTCGCCACTAAGTGGCGGTGACGTCACCACGACGCTTGTGCCAGGCTATGTGCACCCTGAGGCCACGTGAAGTGTCGAACGCCCGCTGGCAGGAGGTCACGGGGCAGACCCAGGTGCCACGGGTCGACTGACTGAGATGACTGGCTGATGCACCACCTGTGCCCCCTACTGTGCCAACCTTGCTGTGCTTTAGCCACCCGGCGCTCCGCTCGCTGTTGTGAGTGTCGCTCCTCCGCCCTCCGTTGTTGTTGGAGGGCGACTAGCCTCCAACTGCCCAGTAGCAGTCCTTCACGAGCCTCCTCCACAGAGGCCGATCTTGACACCGCTGGTACCAGTCATCGGCAAGTCCACTCAGCTCCACGTCCTCCTGTACCACATCACTCCATCTCTTCTCTAGCCCGTGCCGAGCCCGCTTAGCCCCCTCGAATCCCGGCCAAACAAAAGCTGTTTCGGCATGCGGTGGCTGGGCATGCGGGCTACATGACCCAGCCAATCGCAGCCTTGCCTGCCGGAGGAGCTCACCGATGGGAACCTTGCCCAGATCTTTCAAGAATTTGTGAGCTCCTCACACAATCCAGTCTGGTTAAACCCAGGATGGATCGTAGGCAGGCCAGCCTAAATGTTTCCAACCGGCGAAGATATTCCATTTGGGGGGTCCACGTTTCGCAAGCGTAGAGAAGGGAGGGAATGACCGTGGCCGAGAAGACCTGAAGCTTAGTGCGGAGCGACAGACCAGGTAGCTTCCACACAGCGTTACGCAACCGATGAAAAGATATTGCCGCTCGACTGATTCGGAGTGAGACCTCTGCTGTTAAACTGGAGCCGGTCAGACACACACACAGACACACACACACAGACACACACACAGACACACACACACAGACACACACAGACACACACACAGACACACACACAGACACACACACACAGACACACACACAGACACACACACACGCGAGGTTGACATTCCAACGCATTGGGGCTGTGCGACAGTGACTGAGTGGACTCCTTTGCCGGGAGCGGTGGCGCAGCGGTTAGCGCTACGCCGCGCTACGAACCCGGCGACGCGAGTTCGATTCCCGCTCACGGCCAACGCCGGTGGCGATTACCTGAACCGGTCCAGCCCCGCCCCTAGGTCGACTCAGCCTCAAATGAGTACCTGGTGCGGTGTGTAAACATCGCCACTGGGGAGACAAAGGTGACCGTGCATGGTGCTGGCCACCCACCCCCTCGCGTGCCGTGCCGGCCTTCATAGGTGCTCGCTAACAGCACTTTCCCCAACAGTCTGTTGAGGCTACGGGGGGAGGGTCTTTGTCTTTGCATGCGTGATGCGTTTGGAGTTGCCGGAAAGCAGTGGGTGGGGGGGGGTGTTGCCGCGAGTTGCTGGGAATTGTTGCCGTGAGTTGCTGGGAGCTGGAGAAAGTTCCTTGGGAGGAGCTCACCCCTCCTCCTCCTCACTCATCCCTCCTCCTCCTCACTCACCCCTCCTCCTCCTCGCTCACCCCTCCTCCTCCTCGCTCACCCCTCCTACTCGCTCACCCCTCCTCCTCCCCGCCATCCACGTGACACGTGGGGACACCGCTCATAGCCCCGCAACTCCGTGCGAGCAGCGCAACGGGACGAGGCTCTCGGGGAGACGCAGAGCCAGCGAGGAGACGGAGGGGAGACGCGTCAAGATAGACACCCCCGCAGAGAGACCTCAAATACGTGAACACTGCTCCACACATTCCTCTACCTCCCCCTCCTCTTAGTTGTCGTCTTTCTCATCATCTCCGTCATCTCCATCATCTCACGGTACGGAATCAAGATGCGCAGCGATAGGAACACCAACGAGGAACAGCCATCAACAACAGCATCAACAACAACACCACCATCACCACATCTCCAGCTGCGCTGAGCACAGCCTCCTCGTCCGCGCGGCGCGGGATTTGTCTGCGGCTCTCCGGCTTCTGGCCGCCGCATCCCGGACCCCAACTCACACCGCGATCCTCTGCAGAGCTCCACCGACCCAACAACCCAACAACCAACCAGCCCAATAACCAACCAACCCAACAACCAACCAGCCCAACAACCAACCCAACAACCAACCCAACAACCAACCAGCCCAACAACCAACCAGCCCAACAACCAACCAGCCCAACAACCAACCAGCCCAACAACCAACCAGCCCAACAACCAACCAGCCCAACAACCAACCAACCCAACAACCAACCAGCCCAACAACCAACCAGCCCAACAACCAACCAGGCCAACAACCTAACAACCAACCAGCCCAACAACCAACCACCCCAACAACCAGCCAACCCAACAACCAACCCAACAACCAGCCAGCCCAACAACCAACCAACCAACCCAACAACCAACCAGCCCAACAACCAACCAACCCAACAACCAACTAACACAACAACCCAACAACCAACTCAACAACCAACCCAACAACCAACACAACCAACTCAACAACCAACCAACCCAACAACCAGCCCAACAACCAACACAACAACCCAACAACTCAACAATCAACCAACCCAACAACCAACTCAACAACCAACCAACCCAACAACCAACTAACCCAACAACCAACTCAACAACCAACCAACCCAACAACCAACACAACAACCCAACAACCAACTCAACAACCAACCCAACAACCAACACAACAACCCAACAACCAACTCAACAACCAACCCAACAACCCAACAACCAACACAACAACCCAACAACCAACTCAACAACCAACCAACCCAACAACCAACCCAACAACCAACACAACAACCAACCAACCCAACAACCAACCAACCCAACAACCAACCCAACAACCAACTCAACAACCAACCAACCCAACAACCAACTCAACAACCAACCCAACAACCCAACAACCAACTCAACAACCAACACAACAACCCAACAACCAACTCAACAACCAACACAACAACTCAACAACCAACCAACCAACCCAACAACCAACTCAACAACCAACACAACAACCCAACAACCAACTCAACAACCAACACAACAACACAACAACCCAACAACCAACTCAACAACCAACACAACAACCCAACAACCAACACAACAACTCAACAACCAACCAACCCAACAACCAACACAACAACCAACACAACAACCCAACAACCAACTCAACAACCCAACAACCAACACAACAACCCAACAACCAACTCAACAACCAACACAACAACCCAACAACCAACTCAACAACCAACCAACCCAACAACCAACTCAACAACCAACACAACAACCCAACAACCAACACAACAACCCAACAACCAACTCAACAACCAACACAACAACCCAACAACCAACACAACAACTCAACAACCAACCCAACAACCAACTCAACAACCAACACAACCCAACAACCAACTCAACAACCAACACAACAACACAACAACCCAACAACCAACTCAACAACCAACACAACAACCCAACAACCAACACAACAACTCAACAACCAACCAACCCAACAACCAACACAACAACCAACACAACAACCCAACAACCAACTCAACAACCAACACAACAACCCAACAACCAACACAACAACCCAACAACCAACTCAACAACCAACACAACAACCCAACAACCAACTCAACAACCAACCAACCCAACAACCAACTCAACAACCAACACAACAACCCAACAACCAACTCAACAACCAACACAACAACCCAACAACCAACTCAACAACCAACACAACAACCCAACAACCAACACAACAACTCAACAACCAACCAACCCAACAACCAACTCAACAACCAACACAACAACCCAACAACCAACTCAACAACCAACACAACAACACAACAACCCAACAACCAACTCAACAACTCAACAACCAACCAACCCAACAACCAACTCAACAACCAACACAACAACCCAACAACCAACTCAACAACCAACACAACAACCCAACAACCAACACAACAACTCAACAACCAACCAACCCAACAACCAACCCAACAACCAACACAACAACCCAACAACCAACTCAACAACCAACCCAACAACCAACACAACAACCCAACAACCAACTCAACAACCAACAAAACAACCCAACAATCAACACAACAACTCAACAACCAACCAACCCAACAACCAACCCAACAACCCACCAGGGCCGTCCATAGGGGGGTGGAGTGCGAGTCCCGAGGCAACCCCCACCGTGTGAGCCCCCCCCCCCAACCCCCCCAACCCCCCCAACCCCCACCGTGTGAGCCCCCCCCAACCCCTACCCAACCCCCACCGTGTGAGCCCCCCCCCCAACCCCCCCAACCCCCACCGTGTGAGCCCCCCCCCAACCCCTACCCAACCAACGCCTTCAAACTGAACCGGGAGTATCACATCCGACATCGCGACCCCACCCCCACCCCCCCAAGCGTGGGGCCCGGGGCGGTCGCGCCGGTTTTCCGTGTACCCTCGGGACAACTGCCACCGGGCCGACTTCGCCGACTTCCCCTCGAGGCCGTCACGTGAATGGTGGCAGCTGAGGGCGGGAGACGTCCTAGAGGAGGTGGTTTCATGTGACCGCGTGACAGTGACGAGGTGGAGGAGGAGGCAGTGGAGTCGTGACGACACTATCAGCTCAGGGGGGGGGGGGGGGGTGCTGAAATCTCTCCGGTGGGGCTCCCAATGTCGCGATTCGTCTCTTCGCACGGTCGCGCCTCGAGGCTCTTCGACGTCGCCGGCTCCCCCTAGCCCGAATCGCATCGTGAAGCAGTTTCATCACAACAACATCATCAACATCATCAACATCATGTAAACCGCGTTCTACATCAGCGTCGTTGTTGTTGAAAAACAAATCTCATGGTGCTTGTTAAGGGGGGCTCCAACTCGTAGCTTTGGCTAGGAGAGAGGGGGGGGGGCAAGGCACTTCCTGCCTGCCGCACGCTCGTCACGCCGCTACTGGGAGAAAGAGGAAGGATCGAGGAGGAGGTGAGAAAGGTGGACGAGGTGGACGAGGTGGTTCATGGAGCAACGACAGCACAGCGGCGTGGGTTCTTCTGTGTTGGTGGGGGGCGAGATGAGTCGGAGCTCGCACCGCTACCGAACGTTCATGATGGACGAGATTTTATCGTGCACGGCCAAGAGCCCCGGCCCCCCGCGCCCCGCGGAGCTGGGGACGCGGGCGGCCTCCTCCTGCCCCTTCGTCTACCGGGCGCCGTCAGCCGCAGCTGTTTTCCCGCGACCCCTCCTCGGTACGGGCACGTGCTGCTGCTGCTGTGAGTCGCGGTCACTCTGTCTCTCTGTCTGCCTGTCTGTCTCTGTGTGTCTCTGTGTGTCTCTGTCTCTCTGTGTGTCTCTGTGTCTCTGTCTGTGTGTCTCTGTCTCTCTCTGTGTCTCTGTCTCTCTGTCTGTCTCTCTGTCTGTCTCTCTCTCTGTGTCTCTCTGTCTCTCTCTGTCTCGGTCTCTCTCTCTCTGTATCTCTGTGTGTCTCTCTCTCTCTCCGTCTCGGTCTCTCTCTGTTTCGCTCTCTGTCTCTCTGTCTCTCTCTCTGTGTCTCTCTGTCTGTCTGTCTCTCTCTGTGTCTCTGTGTCTGTCTCTCTGTGTTTGTCTCTCTGTGTCTGTCTCTCTGTGTCTCTGTGTCTCTGTGTCTCTGTCTCTCTCTCTCTCTCGGTCTCTCTCTGTGTCTCTCTGTGTGTGTCTCTCTCTCTGTCTCTCTCTGTGTCTCTCTCTGTGTCTCTCTGTCTCTCTGCTGGCTCACAATCGGTGTGGTTCTCACTCCTCCAGACCTACCGGCCCCACCACCACCACCACGTTTCGTTTTTCCGCCGTTTCCCAATCGACTTCCCCCCCCCCCGTTCCAATGCTAATTAATTCGCTCCACGCTGCTGCACGCGCCCGATGATTGTTAAACACGTTCCACGTGACGCGCTAAGCACTGAACGCTGTCTGCAACAAGAGAGCCGCTTCACACTAAGCTCGAGATCTCTGCGTGCGTGCGTGCGCACGTGTTGCATGTACTGTACGTGTGTTGAACTTCTTTTGCACCGTACGTAGACAACCGTGCTGATCGGAGGTGTGGTGGTGGGTGGTGGGTGGTGGTGGGGGGGGGCACAACCTAAGCACGTGTACACAGTACACACAGTACACGTGTTCCAGACAACACAAATACTGCATTAAGACAAACTAATCCTAGCTAAATAAAAACCCCTTGGAAACCCGCGCGGAGCGGTGGCGCAGCGGTTAGCGCATTGCGACGACATGGACGTTTGGTTCCCAGACCACGGCTAACATCAGTGGCGCCGCGTTGGCCAGACGTTAACCTCCTCGCCTGGTGTACAGGAGGTCGTAGGTTCTGATCCCCACCCTGTGACGCCTGCCGCTGCTGTATATTTGGAGCTTGCGGTGTGTCTCTCTCCCTCTCTCTCCCCGTGGTCGCGTGGATTTGTCTCCGGGTCCTTGGGGTTTTTCACTCCACATTCAGAGTCGGCATCACCACGCGTTCAGAGACTTTGGCCGCTCTAAATTGCCACGTGATGAGCCACTTCGTTGAGCTATCATTCATGGCCGGGTCGCTTCTGAAAAAGAGTTATATAGCTCAGTGGGCCTTACCCGGGCCTCGCCTCCCAACCCCTACCACCATCCTTCTAACAAACCGCACTGACCAGAGAGACGAAGTATGGTCAAACGTACCCCCCTCCCCCCTTTTCCACCATGACCAACACGACGATGTGATGGTTATGATGCTGTAGCTGCTGCTGATGTCATTCTAATTATTGACAGGGACCGTTTTTTTGTCAATCCACTGCTGGATGAATGTCGTGCCAGTTATGCTGATGATGATGATGCGTCTAATCTTGATGCTGTTGTTGCTGTTGTTGATGCTGCTGACGACCACATCAACTCCACCACAACCAACACGACCACCAACACTTCCATCACCACCACAACCAACCATCGCCAACACCTCCACCACAATCATCACGACCACCACCATCACCAACCCCGCCATCATCACCTCCACCGCAACCACCACCAACACCTCCAAATCAACCATGACGACCACAACCGCCACCTCCACATTCATCACCAACCCAACCATCACCAACCCCTTCCACCACAACCACCACCAACCCCACCAACACCTTTAAATCAACCATCACGACCACAACCGCCACCTCCACATTCATCACCAACCCAACCATCACCAACCCCTTCCACCACAACCACCACCAACCCCACCAACACCTCCAAATAAACCATCACGACCACAACCGCCACCTCCACATTCATCACCAACCCAACCATCACCAACCCAACCATCACCAACCCAACCATCACCAACCCCTTCCACCACAATCACCACCAACCCCACCAACACCTCCAAATAAACCATCACGACCACAACCGCCACCTCCACATTCATCACCAACACAACCATCACCAACCCAACCATCACCAACCCCTTCCACCACAACCACCACCAACCCCACCAACACCTCCAAATCAACCATCACGACCACAACCGCCACCTCCACATTCATCACCAACCCAACCATCACCAACCCAACCATCACCAACCCCTTCCATCACAACCACCACCAACCCCACCAACACCTCCAAATAAACCATCACGACCACAACCGCCACCTCCACATTCATCACCAACCCAACCATCACGAACCCAACTATCACCAACCCCTTCCACCACAACCACCACCAACCCCACCAACACCTCCAAATCAACCATCACGACCACAACCGCCACCTCCACATTCATCACCACCACCACCACCACCTTGGCAGCCTCCTACAAGTTCTCCATGGTTCACGGAGCGGCCGCATGCCCGCTGCTGTCGCCGGCGAGCGGCGCTCCGACTTTTCTGGGGGGGGCCCTGGTGGCCGGGACCCCCTTCCCGGGGGAGCTGAGGCCCCGGGCAGACCCCGTGGCCCCAGGAATCCGCAGCAAGAGGTGTCGGAGGAGTCGCACGGTGTTCACCGAGCCGCAGCTGCTGGGGCTCGAGAGGAAGTTCGAGAAGCAGAAATACCTGTCGACGCCGGACAGGTGAGAGCCGGACTCACGTGGAGACGAAGACAAAGAACCCCCGTGTAGCCTTGGCGGACTGTTGGGGCGAGTGCTGTCAGCGAGTAACGCCTATGAAGGCCGGCACGGCACACGAGGGGGGTGGGTGGGAGGGTGGCCAGCACCACGCCCTGCCGCCTTTGTCTCCCCAGGGGCGATGCTCACACACCGCACCAGGTACTCATTTGAGGCTGAGTCGACCTACGGGAGGCCCAGTACCGGTGCAGATAATCGCCGCGTTGTTATTGTTGGTGGTGGCCGAGAGCTGGAATCGAACTCGGGTCGCCGGGTTCGTAGCGCAGTGGCGCGCTCACCGCTGCACCACCGAGTGGGTGGGTGCACAAGCAGAGCCAACAGCAAATATCGCTCCACACGCTCCGTGTCAACAACAACGACAACACGTGTGTAAGTGTGTGTGTGAGGTCTTGATAGAAGTGGGGAGCGGTGGTGCAGCGGTTAGCGCTACGCTGCGCTATGAATCCGACGACCCGGGTTCGATTCCCGCTCACGGCCAACACGGGTGACGATTATCTGAACCGGTCCTGGGCCTCCCCACCGCTAGGTCGACTCAGCCTCAAACGAGTAGTACCTGGTGCGGGGTGGAAATCATCGCCACTGGGGAGACAAAGGCGGCCGGGCGTGGTGTTGACCACCCGCCCCCTCGTGTGCCGTGCCGGCTTTAATAGATGCTCGCTAACAGCACTTGCCCCAACAGTCTGTTGAGGCCATGCGGGGGATCTTTGTCTTTTAGTAGGAAACGTTTTGCGACAGGCGACATTTGAGGTCAATGGCCTTCCTCCTCGGCACATGCATGGAGAGAGGTCAGCGAGATGCAGCAGATCAACAGCGAGCGTGTCAATTATTGTAATTGTACAACAATGATCGGAATTGTACAACAATGGTATACAATGCATATAATTGATTCTAATTGTACAACAATGATTATAATTTATTATTATTGTACAACCGCGCGCGCACGACCACAAATGATTACAATGAGTATAATTGATTAGAATTGTGCAATGATTAATATTGCTTATAATTGTAGGATGATTATAATTGATTATTGTACAACAATCATTATGATTGTACAACAATAATTATAATTGCGGTAATAACCGCGCGCATGCGGCACCACATCTAATCGCACAGTCGGCGTTCGTTCCAGCGCCTCCCATGCCCAACACACGAAAGCTTCCCCGCCACCTGCAAATCATCTCCGCTGGCACGGCGCTTATTTTTTAGGAAAAACAAGTGCAGTCGTTTAACTTGCCGAGAGCTAATCACGTCTGAGAAGGGCCTGTGTAAGCACTGGCTAATGTGAGACACGTGTGTGGCTGGTGTGTTCACACGTGTGTGTGTGTTTACACGTGTGTGTGTGTGTGTTTACACGTGTGTGTGTGTGTGTGTTTGATGTGCCACTGCATGCGTTGTTTGCGTATGCGAGTTGATGTATATACGCTTTGTGTGTATACTATTATTACTATAATGCCGTATTCATCATCATCATCAGCAGCAGCCATGGTCAATCCACTGCTCGATTAAGGCCTCTACGCGTCGCGTCGGTCGTGCAGCTTGTTTTGGCCATACTTCCCCACACTGGTCAGTGCAAAGTTCGCGATGGGCGATGACAGCACCCGTCCATCTAAGGCAGGGCTGGGGAACGTCCGGCCCACGGGCCGTATGAGGCCCGTGGGCCGTATGAGGCACGCAAAATAATTTGGTCTCTGGCCCTGCCAAGGCAACCGCAGGCGGGACTCGAAATTCAACAAATCTAGGAGAGCAAACCTGGAAAAGCAGTTGCGAGTAGCAACATCATCAATACCAGCTAACATCATCAATACCAGCTAACATCATCAATACCAGCCAACATCATCAATACCAGCTAACATCATCAATACCAGCTAACATCATCAATACCAGCTAACATCATCAATACCAGCTAACATCATCAATACCAGCTAACATCGTCAACGCCAGCTAACATCGTCAATACCAGCTAACATCAATACCAGCTAACATCAATACCAGCTAACATCGTCAATACCAGCTAACATCATCAACACCAGCTAACATCATCAATACCAGCTAACATCATCAACACCAGCTAACATCATCACTACAAGCTAAAATCGTCAACACCAGCTAACATCGTCAATACCAGCTAACAACATCAACACCAGCTAACATCGTCAATACCAGCTAACATCATCAATACCAGCTAACATCATCAATACCAGCTAACATCATCAATACCAGCTAACATCATCAACACCAGCTAACATCAATACCAGCTAACATCGTCAACACCAGGTAACATCATCAACACCAGCTAACATCAGCAATACCAGCTAACATCATCAATACCAGCTAACATCATCAATACCAGCTAACATCATCAACACCAGCTCACATCTTCAATACCAGCTAACATCATCAATACCAGCTAACATCATCAATACCAGCTAACATCATCAATACCAGCTAACATCATCAACACCAGCTAACATCATCAATACCAGCTAACATCAATACCAGCTAACATCATCAACACCAGCTAACATCATCAATACCAGCTAACATCACCAATACCAGCTAACATCATCAATACCAGCTAACATCATCAATACCAGCTAACATCACCAATACCAGCTAACATCATCAACACCAGCTAACATCATCAATACCAGCTAACATCACCAATACCAGCTAACATCATCAACACCAGCTAACATCGTCAACACCCGCTAACATCATCAATACCAGCCAACATCGTCAATACCAGCCAACATCATCAATACCAGCCAACATCATCAATACCAGCCAACATCATCAACACCAGCTAACATCGTCAACACCAGCTAACATCACCAATACCAGCTAACATCGTCAATACCAGCTAACATCACCAATAGCAGCTAACATCACCAATACCAGCTAAAATCATCAATACCAGCTAACATCACCAATACCAGCTAACATCATCAATACCAACTAACATCATCAATACCAGCTAACATCATCAACACCAGCTAACATCGTCAATACCAGCTAACATCATCAATACCAGCTAACATCATCAACACCAGCTAACAACATCAATACCAGCTAACATCATCAACACCAGCTAACATCATCAACACCAGCCAACATCATCAATACCAGCTAACATCGTCAATACCAGCTAACATCATCAACACCAGCTAACATCATCAACACCAGCTAACATCATCAACACCAGCTAACATCATCAACACCAGCTAACATCGTCAACACCAGCTAACATCGTCAACACCAGCTAACATCATCAATACCAGCCAACATCATCAACACCAGCCAACATCATCAACACCAGCTAACATCATCAACACCAGCCAACATCATCAACACCAGCTAACATCGTCAATACCAGCTAACATCATCAACACCAGCTAACATCATCAACACCAGCTAACATCGTCAATACCAGCTAACATCATCAATACCAGCTAACAACATCAATACCAGCTAACATCGTCAACACCAGCTAACATCAATACCAGCTAACATCGTCAACACCAGCTAACATCATCAATACCAGCTAACAACATCAACACCAGCTAACATCATCACCACGCCTCACCAAAGATAAGCAGTTCCAGCCCATCGCATTAGCGGCGAGTTAATTAAATGTTTGACCAAATATAACGGGCTAATTTTTAAGTTCATCATTTTGTATGGCCCGCGAATGATGTTATATAAATATCCAAATGGCCCTTGTCAGAAAACAGGTTCCCCAGGCGTGATCTCAGAGGTGTATCGCTCCGCTGATGTCAGCCGCGTGCTGGGAATCTGTGGACTCGGTCGCCTGGTTCGCGACGGCCACGTGACAGCGAACCCGCTGTGTCAGCACGCCGTGCAGTAGTAACAGCAGTAGCAGCAGCAGTAGCAGCAGCAGTAACAGCAGTAGCAGCAGCAGTAGCAGCAGCAGTAGCAACAGCAGTAGCAACAGCAGCAGCAGTAACAGCAGTAACAGCAGTAGCAGCAGCAGTAGCAGCAGCAGTAACAGCAGTAACAACAGCAGTAACAGTAGTAGCAGCAGCAGCAGTAACAGCAGTAACAACAGCAGTAACAGCAGTAGCAGCAGCAGAAGCAGCAGTAGTAACAGCAGCAACAACAGCAGCAGTAACAGAAGCAGCAGCAGTAACAGCAGCAACAGCAGTAGCAGCAGCAGTAACAGAAGCAGCAGTAACAGAAGCAGCAGTAACAGCAGCAACAGCAGTAACAGCAGCAGCAGTAACAGCAGCAGCAGTAACAGCAGCAGCAGCAGTAGCAGCAGCAGAAGCAGCAGTAGTAACAGCAGCAACAGCAGCAGCAGCAGTAACAGAAGCAGCAGTAGCAGCAGCAGTAACAACAGCAGTAACAGCAGTAGCAGTAACAGCAGTAGCAGCAGCAGTAACACAAGCAGAAGCAGCAGTAACAGCAGCAGTAACAGAAGCAGCAGTAACCGCAGCAGCAGCAGTAACAGCAGCAGCAGTAGTAGCAGCAGTAACAACAGCAGTAACAGCAGCAGCAGTAGCAGCAGCAGTAACACAAGCAGAAGCAGCAGTAACAGCAGCAGTAACAGAAGCAGAAGCAGCAGTAACAGCAGTAACAACAGCAGTAGCAGCAGCAGTAACAGCAGCAGTAACAGCAGCAGCAGCAACAGAAGCAACAGCAGTAACAGAGTAACAGCAGAAGCAACAACAGCAGTAACAGCAGCAACAGCAGCAGTAACAGCAGTAATAGTAACAGCAGCAGTAACAGCAGTAACAGCAGCAGTAACAGCAGCAACAACAGCAGGAACAGCAGTAACAGCAGCAGCAGTAACAGCAGGAACAGCAGCAACAACAGCAGTAACAGCAGCAGAAGCAACAACAGCAGCAGCAGTAACAGCAGCAACAACAGCAGTAACAGTAGCAGCAGTAACAGCAGCAACAACAGCAGTAACAGTAGCAGCAACA